CGCATCACCTACAGCAGCGATGACGAAAACGATTCCCCGTCGGAAACCAGCAGTGATACAGAGCTTCCCATGATCGAGTACGATTCGTCGACGAGAGCCCATCAAGACCCTTCGAGCGTCAAGCTTCGCGCCCGATTTTACGACGCTGAATCAGACGGAGATGAAGAAGGTGACGACGAATTCGAGCCCGGCGCAGATGGCGACGATGATGAGGATATGGGCAGCGAGGACGATGATATTCGAGAGGAGCTGCGTCTCATCAGCGAAGACAATGCCGCCGTTAGAGAAGGTGACCTCCTCGAGGAGTTGCGCAGCATTCGTGGCAAGAGAGCGTCGAGCGGATCGCGGGACACCGTACATTCGACCCCGCCTCGTCGCGCATCCCCTGTGGCATCGGCCAGTAACGCTTTGGTCAGGTCTGCAACCAGGACGTCTACAGGCATGGACTTTCTCGACAAGATCATAGCCTTGAGAGCTGCGTTCCCCACTGCACCCTTCGCCATCGTCGAGCCAACGTTGCTCAGGTGCGACTCAGACCCGGAAAGAGCATACCGCAAGCTTTCGAAGAAGTTCAGCGCCCAGCTTGGTATTCGTCAGATGCTGGAACGCCAGGAGAGAAGCCTATCCAGTAGCCCCATTCGGCATAGCGACCGTAACGACGGACGTGAACTGGTGCTGAGGGAAACGAGTTCTGAGGAAGACTCTGACAGCGCAGCAGACGAGCTTGAGGAACACCAGAGCAACGAGCTGAATGACGACAGCGACGAGGCGTCTGAGACTCTCAACCACAACACTCATCCTGATTCAAAGGATGGAAAGGACGACTTGTCCTCCGAGTCTGACTCTGACTCCAGCTCTGAATCGAGTGCGGTAGCGTCAGACTCGGATTCTGATCAAGAGATGGATGACCTGGACAAGAGCTCAGAAGAAGGGTCCGACAAAAGCTTAGAAGACTCTTCCTCCGATGACTCTAGCGAGTCTGGAGACGAAGCACCCGTACCGGACGACAATTCAGAGGTTGAGGACCAGGATATACCTGAAGAAGAGTCTGGCTCAGACTCTAACAGTGATGGTTCACGGGCTGTCGCAGGCAGGCGGTCCTCTGAAGGTGCACCTGCCGACGTGGATATGGACTCATCATCGGGCTCGTCATCTGACTCTTCGTCAGACTCGCTGTCCGATTCCTCGGAGTCTGACGAGGAAAGCAGCAGCGGCGATTCCAGCTCGGACTCAGACTCCGACTCCGACTCCGGACCCGAAGAAATACCTGCTACAACTTTGAGCAAGCAATATCAGACTTTGCAGCCCGTCATATCCCCAAAGCCAACCAAGGCAACTCCCGCGGCCGCCCCAGCTGTCCACACGCCAACTGTCCCGCCCGGCCAAGGCCTGACTAAAACTCAGAAGAGAAATGCGAGGCGCAAACTTGCCAAGCAGTCCGCGGCGCAGGGCAGTTCCGCATCAGGACAGATCAGCAGGGAGCCCTCCCAGATGACAGCCCCCGAGATTCCAGATGACATTGCAGCCCTTTTGGCAAGGAAGAAGGCGTTGCTCGAGGCTTTCGTATCAGATGCGCCTGAGGAATCTCAGAGCCAGGAAAAGTCGCCTGAAATCCCAGATTCCGCTCCTCAAGACTCCTCGCAAGTTGTATACGCTGAGGCTTTTCGAAGTCCCTCTACTCAAGAGGATCCTGCCCAGCGTCGCATGAAGCCCAATGTTGGCGCTGCGAGGCGCATGCTGATGGGTTCCTTGGGTCTCAAGAACCCAAAGACCAAGGCCGATGAGGACAAGATCAGGCAAGACCTGATGAAAGGCGTGCGACCGCACACCAATGCACGTCTGACGGAAGCACCGCAGTCTGGCGAATCCGCCCAGACTCAAGAATCGGTAGAGGAAGATCCCGAAGCCTGGCGCGAGAAAATCGCTTACCGAGCCGTAGAATGCTGCCACGAGGGTGTCGAGCTCTCGGAACCGCCATTTCCTTTTGTCCAGCGGTGGGACCCCCAACAGCAAGTGGAGGAATGGTTTGGTTCGAAGAATAAGCGCGGGGGCAAACGTAAGCGCGTACAGCGCAATCAAGCTCAATTTTATGACGACGGGGACTCTCAATCGTCGAAGAAGCGTCGGGTAGATGGCGATGACAGCATCATGACCTTCTCGGAAGGTGTTGAGGAAGGAGACACAACACTCAACTACGACGACCCGGTCGAGGAACCGGCTGCGTCAAAGGCCCGACCTGAGGAGAGTCAGATGACGGATGTCGAGGATCTGCCCTCATTGCCAGACGACCTGACTACACTTCCGGAGCTTCGGCCAGGTGCGGCCAAGGCGGGCATGGTCATCACGTGGAAGCAATGGGTTTTGTCGACTCAAACTAACTGGCAACCCGAAGTCATCAACGTTACTGGTATTTTGGTCAGAGTCTTCGACGAGGATGCTACCGACTTTGAGTTCTTGCTTGCTCAGCGCGACCGGGATCATGATCGAAAAGAAAAGATCTACGATGAAAGCACCGGACAGCGTGTGTACGACCGTTTTGAGGCCCCAGACGACGATGAGGACGACGATGAGTCGGGTTTCGACGACGGATACCGCAAGATCACATTTGCAGAGCTGATTGAGCCCAAGATTCTTCAAGACCCCCTGGACGACAAGCGGATGCCAGTCGTCAACGAAGAGTCGAGTGGCCCCACTGACAGCGTGGTTCACGAAACCGTTTACGACACCCAGAGCCAGCCTTCGCAGTTCCCCGGGAAGAACGCCAGCCCGCCCGAGGCGGATGAAGATGGAAGTCAGTCACAAATCGATGCAGAGGATGGTCAAGCCAAGGCTAATACGGGTGATGGACAGTCTCAGGTCGTTGCTGAGCATGATGAAATGGTCGTCGACCCTTCGGAACAGGATCAATCGACGTCAAACCCCGAACCACCGATTGACAATGCACAGCCAGCAAACGACATTGAAGGCGAAGCTGATGAGGACGATGTGGCGACACCCAAAGCGAGTGCACAAGCGAAGGTCAAGAACGTTGTTATCGAAACGGAGGAATCTCAAGAGTCAGGAACCAGCCAAGCCCCCACTGCGTTCTCAATCTCTTCGGATCGCCGCCATGAAATCAGTCTGATGATCGAGGAAGCGGGTTTCCGTAAAGACCTTTCCCCGTCTGTCTTGCAACGCAAAACAAGCAGCCCTACTCGCCAACTTATGGAGATGTCGGAGGCAGCCAACAGCCGATCGTCCGAGGCTCCTGTGCTCGAGGCGAGCTCTGTAAAGGATACCACACCGGCCCCTCCTCAAAGCGACTCCATTCCACCACCCTCCTCTGCGACTAGCGTCCGCAGTGGGCGACAACCAGACGACGACTTCAGTTTCCATACAGGTGGCGACGATGTTCCAATGAACGACACTGGTGACGGTTCACCAATCTTGGGAGCCTCCACACCCAAGGCGAATGTGCAGACGCCCCCTCGGCAGAACCAGTCGCCTGTTGAGCCAGGCACAACAGATTCCTTCCCGTCGCTGGAAGACATCTTTCTCGAGGCCACGCAACCAAGCACACAGAACAACGAAAGTCCCTCCAAGTCACAAGTATTCTCGGATATTAAATCCCGCAAGTCAATCGTGAAGCTCGACACAGATTACGAGGCTGCCATGCGACGCATTGACGAAGAAGGGGACGAGGATGATGAGGAGGACGAAGACAATGAAGAGGACGAGAACGATGAAGAGGCGGAGGACGAAGACGACGAGGACGAAGAGGATGAGGACGACGAGTCTCCGCAGGCCTTCAGGGGCACCCGCAAGCAGCTGTTTCCCAACTCAAGTCAGCCAGCTCCGTCCAGATCGCCCGAATTGCCCGATATGAGACCGATGCCCAAGACGGCACCGTCGTCTTTCAGCGAGTCTCAGGATGTTAAGCCAAAGAAGCCTTTTATTCGATTCACGAAGCGCAAGAGCCAGAGCTCTCCGTTTGTCATTCCGGATGGTTCCCAGGTTATCTCGGTGTCATCCTCGCCCGAGCCGCCCGTAGAAGAGGATTATGCGGAAGACGAGATTGATGACGACTACCAGGAGAAAAGTAGTAGTCTACCGCATGGATCTGGTTGGGTGAAGAAGAACAAGCCGTCCCGAGCGAAGAGCATGCCGCCGGCGAGAACAACAGCCAATGCCGCAGCTGGAAGGAGGTCGATTCCGCCCAGCTCCATGCCGGCTAGAACGAATACCAAGTCTCGAGGGCAACGCAAGTCTATGACGAGGTTCTAGAAGAAGTTGAGTACGGCTCGTGGCGGTTGAGACTGGGTCTGGGTTAGGCGTTACTGCATAGTCTGATTGTATGTATTAATACTTTGCATTGGCTCCACAGATGATGAGAGCATCAATACCCGTACCTGACGAGGTACTTATTTAGTAGCAATGGAACAGAAGTTATCAAATATTTCAAGGCTGCTACCGATAAGATTGTGATTAGGCATTGACTAAGAACGGTCGGCGATTCGGTGCTGTGATTGCATGACGAAGGTGCAGATGCCGTCGTATCGCCAAGTGCCCACTTGTGCGGCTGCGACCACAAAAGGCCTCTCGGTATTAATCAACGTTGCTCACCGTGATGAATCCGCACCAGTTCTCCCTCCGCATTCTCCCCGCTTAAACCCACGGAGAGGACATCATCACCTTCCCGGTGCGGTAAATAGCTGTTCGCCAAGAGGTTGCAATGCCATGCGTGCCACGGCGCGATGGTTGACGCTATGGCGGGGACGCCTTGCATCATCATCCTACTCGAGCGACAGAATGCTCATTGTCAACTCTACAGAATCTGGACACCCGGGACTTTCGGGAAATTGCGTGAGAATTATAGCTCCACCGATTGCAGTCTTCACGAGGGGTTTGGGCGTATAAATGGAGTCCGCCCCTGGATAGACGATTTTGGAGTGAGACCGTCATCTTTCACCGGGATCGGGACGAGTCTGAGCCATCGTCGAGCTTCGTGTTCTTTTCGCGAGATGCGTTTCTTCAGAATTCTAGCCGTGGGGCTGCTCCAAGCAAGCCTCACGTCGGCGCAGACTAAGTATGCGGATAATCAAGTTCCGGTCTCCAAAGATAGCGAGCTTGTCTCCAAGCTCTTTCCCGACGTAGAGGGCGTCGAGCTGCTCTCGCCTGCGTTCGCGAATGAAGATGGCGTCCCGGATGGATGGACGAACGGAACTTCTGGTCCTACGTCGCAAGCAACGTTGGGTTCGTGACCGCGCAAAGCTCTGGAGGAGGACATTTGCTAACACGCCAATCGGTCAGAATCCTTCCTGAAAGACATCGCGGATCAACACTCTTGGGCAACTTACCACGTCCCCTTCACCTCGGAAGACGACCGTTCAATCCCCTACCTCAACCTCTCGTCTGGCTCCTCGACATCCAAGCTCCGCATCTGGCTGCAGGGAGGCGTCCACGGCAACGAACCCGCCGGCGACCAAGCCATCCTCGCTCTCCTCGCCAAGCTCGCCTCCAACACCACCTGGGCGACCTCCGTCCTCGAAAAGGCCGACGTACTCGTCTTGCCGCGGTATAACCCCGACGGCGTGGCCTACTTCCAGCGCGAGCTCGCGTCAAACCACGACCCCAACCGCGACCACGCCCTCCTCCAGCGCCAGCAGACCCGCGACGTCAAGACTCTCTTGTCGGCGTTTGACCCGCACATCTTCCTGGATGCGCACGAGTACACGGCCAGCCAGCGGCTCGGTGCGCAGGGGCAGTGGCTCAAGGCGCAGGACGTCCAGGTCTCGCATGTAAAGAACCCCAACATCCACCCGGCCATCCGCGCCCTCGGGGAGGGTCTCTTCCTGCGTGCGATCCAGGGCAAGGTACGGAGCCATGGATTGCGGACTAGCGCGTACTTCACAGCCGGTGGCGGCACCGACCTCCCCGTCCTCACGGAGCCTAGCTCCGTCTCCCGCGCGGGGCACAATTCCGCCGGACTCCTGCAGACGGTGTCTTTCCTCACGGAGACGCGGGGCATCAGGCTCGCAGACCAGCACTTCCAGCGCCGCGTCGCCGCAGGATTGCTTGCCGTTGAGACCCTTCTCCAGACCGCCGTGGACAACGCCGAAGAGGTCTACACCACCATCGAAACCGCGCGGCAAGAGTTCACCACCAGTACCGAGGCCATCATCGTCACCGACCACGCGCGCACCACAAACACAACATGGCCCTTCATCGACGCCCGCAACGGCACCCTCGTCCACGTCCCCGTGCAGTTCCGCAACAGCACGCCCACCGCGCCAGACCTCGTTCGCGCCCGCCCCGCAGCGTACGTCTTCCCGCGCGCGTGGGCCGCCGTCGCGGACAAGCTGCGCACCCTGGGCGTCGAGGTGGCGGTGCTTGACGAAGACTTTGTCGGCGAGGCGGAGGTCCTCACGGCGGAGAGAGTCACCCTCGCGAGCGCCAAGAACGAGGGCGTTGTTGAGAGTGCCATCACCACGTCGACGAGCCGTAGGACGGTGAGGGTGCCCAAGGGCGGGTTCAGCGTGAGCACGCGGCAGAAGAATGCGGCGTTTGCGTTTGTGCTGCTTGAGCCGGAGGGGAACGCGAGCTTGGCGAGGTATAATGTGGTGAACTTGGAGGAGGGCGATGAGTATCCCGTGTTCCGGGTGCTTGCGGGGCAATAGGATCGGGAGGCCGGGGGTTCTCCGGATCGGAGGCTGCCGGTCTTTCGGTGGTGGGGCCGGATCGGCGGCGGTAAGTTGGTGGCACAGTCCGGGTATTAGCAACCCTCAGCACTCCGGGTAATAATTAGGTACCATCTCAAACTCACTGCATTAGCTCCCCCGTGCCCGTCTCCAAACCCGAAGTCTTCCCCAAAATCCTCAAAATGCCGTGGTTTTTTTCATAGAGTAGCAGCACTAACAAATCCGCCCCTGCACCATGAACGCCCACCGCAAGCTGACACCCAATCATCCCGGCCCCCTCACAACGTCTCCAAACGTCCACCTTTCCAAACAACACCAATCACCCAAAAAGTGTCCGCCAGAACCTCAGACACTTGCCCACGTTGGATTCTGCAACTACACCACCACCCATGCAGCCACCAAACAATTGAAAAGAGACCAAGTAGGAGAAAATCTGGAAACAGAAACATTTGGACAAACATTGTGTATGTCACGCCCGCGTCCTGGAACGCGGTGATGGGGGAGGATGTGACTCCTGCATGCTTACACGGCGGTTGATGATCGGCTTGCACGTCACGCTTTCTCTAAACCCCCTATTTCTGCTGTTTCCATTGATCAGTGACAATGTGAGTCAAGATGATAAAGGGACACAATGCCCCTTGTCCTTTCCCATTCTTTCTCTTGTTCCTTGTCGTCGTACCTCAATTGTTCGCGAACTTCGATTCTCTTCCACAACTTCATCTTTTGTCTCTGCGAGATATCTTCACTTCTTATAAGCCGAGCCGGACTCACATTCAACACCCACTTGATCTTCAACTCTCCAATCATACAAACCAAATACATCCGAACAAGAACCTCGCCCAAAATGCATCCCCTCTCTTTCCTCCTAATCCTCTTCGCAACCTCTGCCACCGCCCTCCCCGCGACGCCCGCATCGCCAACGCCCTGCACAATGTCCCTCCCCACAGACGCCTCCCTCACCCGCCCCCCGCCGCGTCCCTTCCGTCCCACCGACGCTCCCTCCGCCCCCTCAGACGAGGCCACAGACCCGACCCCATCCCCAATCTACACCCTCCTCCCCGTCCCCTCCAACTCCTCCTCGTCCTCAAACACATCCGCCCCTTGCTCCCGCCGCCCCCTCCGCCTCGGCCCCGCGCGTCTGCACAAGAAACCCTCCCCATCATCCCCATCCGCCTCCGAGGCCCCAGCCGTCGCGGCCGTCGCAATCGCCGCCGCCGCCGCAGAGACGCCCACCTCCGACGGCCCCCGCGACTACGCCTCCCTCATCCCCCCGGCCCCCGGCGTCACCCCGCGCCCGGAGCCGAACCTCGCCGAGATGGGCTACTACCAGACCACCTACTGGTCCTGCGCGACGCGCGGCACGTCGAGCCACTGCGGCTGGCACCGGCCCATCATGGTCGCGCCCGCCAACGCCGCCGTCAACGCTGCCGGTGCGCCGAGGGGTGCCGGTGGTCTCGGTGCGGCGGCGGTGGCCGGCCTCGTGGGGATCCTCATCGCCGGATGAACCGTCATCCACCCCTTTAACCAACAAACAAAACAAAAAAAACGTCTGAGCGGCTAGCCCTGTCGCTGTCAGCCACGTCGTCCGCGCGCGCCGAGCGATAGAAACGAAAAGCCTCGGCAGGACCCGTAATGGAGCCAGTTCGCCGTTGGCAGCAAACGACCCTCTTCCCACGAGGGAATCCGCCGCGGCGCGACCGATGGCGGCGTCCTGTATCGTCAAAGCGTCGACGCCACCGTTCGTTCGGCCCTTCTCCTATTTCTGTTTTTGTAAGATTCATGAATCGGCCCTGCCTTGTAAAAGAGTCGGCCCGCGTCCCTGATGAAAGGGGGCAGATTCGCACCTGCACAGCCCAGCCGGCTGGGCTACGATGTCATGACCATAGACCGAGAGCACACACGTTGCATGCATGTCGCGACCGGACCCTTCCACTCCCTCCCGCGGCAACACAGGGACGAGAAGTAAAGAAAGGGCGGTGTTTCCAGACAATCTTGTACATCATTTCAATACAACTATAGAAAGGGGGAAGAATGAATACTACCCGTTTGGCCCTCGTCTCCCCTGAAAACAAATAAAAAAGTGACAGTTAATAAAAAAAAGGTAAAAAGAGGACCACGTTCTTTTCTCGCCTTCTAAAAAGCTCGGGTATTTCAGAACACACAACATGGAACAGTAAGAAGTTTGTTAAAAAAGAAGAACACAAGAGCAACCCCCAGAACAAGCGCATGATGGTGAATGTCCGCCCCTTTTTCCCGTGATTTCTTCCCTCTCCGGTCTCCCTTGGATAGTTAAAAGCGTTACATGAAGAGTGTTTTTGGTTTGAAAAAGGTCCATTGCGGGACTGGTGTTGGTTGGCGGTGGTGATGGGATGATCCGCCGCTGCCGAGGATGCGTAAGCCCCCGAGCCGGCCTGTGTCTCCCAGCCGTAGTGGACTCAGTCAGCTGCATGCTACGCGCTGAGGGCATCTTTTTCCTGCGTCCGTTGCCCGAGCCACGGAGGAAGGAGGCGAATGAGGATATATGGCACGGTTTCCGCCTTCGACGGGGCTTGGGCCAGGACGGTCGATGCCTCGATATGCATTCTGAAGTGGCGTGCGGAGTCGGAGATGGCGAGGAGATGGAGGGGCAGGTTTTGTTTGGTCGGGATTGGTGGCGGAGTAGTAGGCGATGGCAAGTTTCGTTCGTCAAAGAGGAGGAATCGGATGGCGGATTGGATGAGGTGGTTCGGGTCGTGACTCGTCGTTTACTTCTTGGCCGGGGCGGGGGGCGCCTTGACGTTGTTAGACAGCCAGGCGAGACCCTCGAGGAGGCCCTCTCCGGTCGTCGCGCAACTGGGCACGACATACCAGACCTTGTCTTTTAACTTTGACAGCTGGAGGGCCTCGGTGACTTCTTGCGGCTTCATGGCTGTTTGGTGTTGTGGTTAGTCTGCGCGTTCTTGATGCCCAGTGGGGACGTGCGTTTCTGAACTCACCTCCGTTGATGTCCTGCTTGTTCGCGAACACCAGCAACAAACTGTCCTTCATTTCGCGATCGTTGATGATTCTGTGCAGCTCGGACTTGGCCTCCTCGATTCTCGCGCGGTCGGAGGAGTCGATGACGAAGATGAGACCCTGGGTTCCTGTAGGATAGGGGTCGTTAGCGCAGTTCGCGAGAGACAGTTGGGCAAAGCAGGCAGGCAGGAGGGGTGCTCACCGCTAAAATAATGTCTCCAGAGGGGACGGATCTTGTCCTGACCACCGACGTCCCAGACGTTGAACTTGACGTTCTTGTAGGTGACGGTCTCGACGTTGAAGCCGACGGTTGGGATGGTGGTGACGTCCTGGCCGAGCTTGAGCTTGTAGAGGATGGTGGTCTTTCCGGCGGCGTCGAGACCCAGCATGAGCAGGCGCATCTCCTTGGATCCGAAGATCTTGCCCATCATCTTTGAGAGTTGGCCACCCATTGTGACGGTCGGTTGTGCGTGTCGTGGAGTCGGAGTTCGTCAGACGGTCGGAGGGCTGGAGAGAGTCGGCGGTTGTCGAGCTGGCGTGAGGTGGGTTGGTTGAGGCTCGAGTGGTTTGGGGAAAGGGGACGGGCGTCGCAACGTATGACGGATGGCTCCTGCTGTGTTTTTCTGGCAAGGTCGGGACGGGCAATTGATGGCCTGGGATTCGTCGTCGCGCGCGCACTCGGATTGTGCGGTCGTCGGTGTTTGAGGGGGATAAAGAAGGAGTGGAAGGGTTGAGGCAGTATGTGTAACGGAGAGAAGCTATCGCGGCTGCAAAGAAAAAAAAAAGCAACCTTAGTTTGCGATGTGTTGCTATAGGTGTTTGCCGAGTCGGGGACGGGGATCGGAGGTTGGGGTCGAAATGGAGCAGCAGGACCGCCCGTCGTCGCCGCACTTTCCTCAGTCACTCACTCAGTGTCACACTCACACGCATACCCACGCGTCCACACTTTCACACACGTCAGGTCTCCGGTCCAATCCAATTCACTGTACGTAGCCGGCTCTGGCTCTGTTGGGCTGTCGCTCGGGCGTCTTGGTAGCAGTGCAGTCCCTACCTAACCCAACCTATCTATGCAAAGGCTTGTGACCTCTGCCAGGGGGTGCGGTGCAGGTGCAGGTGCAGGTGCAAAGCCAAGGCGCACGTATCATAAACGGGCCAATTGGCAGCTATATTTGGGCCCAAATTAATGCTCCCGTCTTCCGAAACGAAGGTGAGCAGAGAAAGAGGTGTGCAGCCGAGCGTTGTTTGCCTGCGGCCCGTCTAGAGATGCCTTTGGTTGGATTGATCGACTTTGGGGGTCATCCATGCGTTTCATTCATTCAACCACTGTGACACTGTCTGTCTCTTGCGAAGACACTGCAGTCTCTTGCGAAGACAGCACACAGCTCGACCGTTGAACTTTGAGGCTGACTGTTTTTTTTTTCGCTTTCTTCCTAAGCAGGTTGAGATGGTTCAGGGGCATTTCCAGTTCCAGTAAGGGTCGCAGAGCTGGATCCTCTTCTTCAGGGCGCAACACGACCTCGCTCATTACGACTGATCACCAGCCGAGGGAGGGCATTGGGCAACGGACATCACCATCTGGCCGTCCCGTCCATCAACCAACCTCTCCAAGAGTCCAAATCCTCTCTCCCCTCATCTCGTTCATCGGCAGCCTCGCCATTATCGCATCTGCGCTTGTGGGGGCCCCTCTGCCCATCTCCTCAGGAACTGCCCACCAGTCCACCACTGTCCGCGGACAGTCCACCTCTTCCCGGGGGGAGAATCGATATTGATCTCGTCTAGGCCTCTTTTGGAACAACATCTCTAGCCACCGCCACACCCTTCCGCATATCCAAGATAAGGTAGTCCCCCTTCCCCCAACACATGCATGACATGACAGGTATCAACTCAAAAGAAGCTCTACGCGAAAGAGAACAAGTGGTGTGGCGCGTGACGGCCCACGGTGGGATGAGCGCCAGATCGGGTCTAGCCGGAATGAATATCGACTG